GTGTGACCCAAGATGAATATTTTATGATATGTTTGTACTGTTGATAAGCAGTGTGTGTGGAGAGGCCTTGTTCACATTCCAACATTAGAAAAGCGTTTCCATAAATCATCCCTATTATAATACTTTTCAGATTTGACTATGCATATTGTAAGGCCATCACCTCCAACATACAATGTTGAACTGAAATGTACTGTATCTGTATATGAACACATTCATGATGAGATAACATTCATGATGAGATAACATTCATGATAACATTCATGATGAGATAACATTCATGATGAGATAATATTCATTGCAAGGGAAGTGCAAGTTTTCTTCTTTTCTGAAATTATGCACTTTCCGTTGGCCAAATGGTCCCTTATCAAACCGTGCCCTTTGTTATGCATGCAAAGAAATAATTCAATTTGCCTGTTTGGCTTGAATGTTCTTCTGCGTTTTGCACATTATGACATATTTTAGTTCTTGAGTGTTAAATTGTGCACAAGTGACTTCTAAGCCTAGTTGGGTGGCCTTGTGGTTAAAGCGTACGTTCGTCATGCCGAAGACCCGGGTTCGATTCCCCACATGGGTAAAATGTGTGAAGTGCATTTCTGGTGTCCCCCGCCGTGATATTGCTGGAATATTGTTAAAATTGGCTTAAAACCATTCTCACTCACTCACTCTAAGGCACTGCTTTGGGTGAATCTGGTGTATGTAATTCGTAGCTATATGGAAATGTCAGGTGTATTTTGACCCCTCGTCAGACGTCTTAGTTTATGCAACCGTAATGTTTTCTGAAGTCCGTGAGTGAACTTTAGCTCATCTCAGCGTTTGACCACAAAGAGTAAGGATACTAGTAAGGTAGGTGAGGTTAGGTTTAACGTCGCCTTCGAGAATATACTGACATGATGCACGTCTCTGTATGTAGGTAGAGCGGCTTGTACTAGTCGGGACGTATCCCTGCTTTATAGTGCTATTCCACTGAGTCACCATGCCGCAGTTTAACAGGATACCGCACTCACACAGAGCTGACCGGTTATTGTCGTCCTCTGTCAGGGTAATCACGCGTACCATATTTTATGGTGGCTGGTAACCGAACCAGTGACCTCTCCGGATTAACCCGTAAAGATCCCGGTTAGAATTGGTCTTCAGCAACCCATGCTTGTCGTAAGAGGCGACTTAGGGGATCGGTTGGTCAGACGCACTGATTGGGTTGACACACGTCATTGAATCCCAATTGCGTAGATCGATGCTCATGCTGTTGATCACATGGTTGTCTGTCCAGACTCGATCATTTACAGACCGCCGCCATATAGTTGGAAAATTGCTGAGTGCGGTTCAAAAACAAGCAAACCAACCTCTCTGTAGCCTCTGCTCACACCACCAGACCAGGGAGGCGGCCCAGTTGGTATATGAAAGAAGTACCAAACATAACAAATATACGAAATAGCACATAGTATTTACAAATAAAACATAATCACACACAACAGAAGTAAATATATCTATAACAAATGCAAACGGATAACCTTTTGATTGGTATCAAGCAAAATGTTGCTTCATGTTCCCTTAATAGTTCTTCTTAATATTCGGTAGTGACGGACATCAAAGTCAATGGTATACCGCAATCCATCTGCTGATTGGTAGGTTGCATACTCCGGAACCTCATGTGGTCTTTATCTGGATGACAGCAGCCAAAACCAATGTATAAACTATATACAGCTCAGTGTTTGACTTAGAAACAATGTGCATGAACGTGCATGAACGTGCATGAACGTGCATGCACTAAAGCCGAGACAAAAGGAATACATGATCTTTCTCTGATTGCAAGAACAATAAACATTTAGGACAAAACGTGTAAATAAGGAACCTTAACACATTCAACAGATAGATGTGTGTACATACATGTATATGATCTCAGCTTTAACATATTCAACAGATAGATGTGTGTACATACATGTATATGATCTCAGCTTTAACACATTCAACAGATAGATGTGTGTACATACATGTATATGATCTCAGCTTTAACACATTCAACAGATAGATGTGTGTACATACATGTATATGATCTCAGCTTTAACACATTCAACAGATAGATGTGTGTACATACATGTATATGATCTCAGCTTTAACATATTCAACAGATAGATGTGTCATACATCTCAGCTTTAACATATTCAACAGATAGATACATGTATATGATCTCAGCTTTAACATGTACATACATGTATATGATCTCAGCTTTAACATATTCAACAGATAGATGTGTGTACATACATGTATATGATCTCAGCTTTAACATATTCAACAGATAGATGTGTGTACATACATGTATATGATCTCAGCTTTAACATATTCAACAGATAGATGTGTGTACATACATGTATATGTTCTCAGCTTTAACATATTCAACAGATAGATGTGTGTACATACATGTATATGATCTCAGCTTTAACACATTCAACAGATAGATGTGTGTACATACATGTATATGTTCTCAGCTTTAACATATTCAACAGATAGATGTGTGTACATACATGTATATGATCTCAGCTTTAACATATTCAACAGATAGATGTGTGTACATACATGTATATGATCTCAGCTTTAACACATTCAACAGATAGATGTGTGTACATACATGTATATGATCTCAGCTTTAACATATTCAACAGATGGATGTGTGTACATACATGTATATGATCTCAGCTTTAACATATTCAACAGATAGATGTGTGTACATACATGTATATGATCTCAGCTTTAACATATTCAACAGATAGATGTGTGTACATACATGTATATGTTCTCAGCTTTTACTATTCACAGATATTGTGTACATACATGTATAGATCTCAGCTTTAACACATTCAACAGATAGATGTGTACATACATGTATATGTTCTCAGCTTTAACATATTCAACAGATAGATGTGTGTACATACATGTATATGATCTCAGCTTTAACATATTCAACAGATAGATGTGTGTACATACATGTATATGATCTCAGCTTTAACACATTCAACAGATAGATGTGTGTACATACATGTATATGATCTCAGCTTTAACATATTCAACAGATGGATGTGTGTACATACATGTATATGTTCTCAGCTTTAACATATTCAACAGATAGATGTGTGTACATACATGTATATGATCTCAGCTTTAACATATTCAACAGATAGATGTGTGTACATACATGTATATCATCTCAGCTTTAACATATTCAACAGATAGATGTGTGTACATACATGTATATGTTCCCTCAGCTTTAACATATTCAACAGATAGATGTGTGTACATACATGTATATCATCTCAGCTTTAACATATTCAACAGATAGATGTGTACATACATGTATATGTTCTCAGCTTTAACATATTCAACAGATAGATGTATGTACATACATGTATATGATCTCAGCTTTAACATATTCAACAGATAGATGTTTGTACATACATGTATATGATCTCAGCTTTAACATATTCAACAGATAGATGTGTGTACATACATGTATATGTTCTCAGCTTTAACATATTCAACAGATAGATGTGTGTACATACATGTATATGATCTCAGCTTTAACATATTCAACAGATAGATGTGTGCACATACATGTATATGATCTCAGCTTTAACATATTCAACAGATAGATGTGTGTACATACATGTATATGTTCTCAGCTTTAACATATTCAACAGATAGATGTATGTACATACATGTATATGATCTCAGCTTTAACATATTCAACAGATAGATGTGTGTACATACATGTATATGATCTCAGCTTTAACATATTCAACAGATAGATGTGTGTACATACATGTATATGTTCTCAGCTTTAACATATTCAACAGATAGATGTGTGTACATACATGTATATCATCTCAGCTTTAACATATTCAACAGATAGATGTGTGTACATACATGTATATGTTCTCAGCTTTAACATATTCAACAGATAGATGTATGTACATACATGTATATGATCTCAGCTTTAACATATTCAACAGATAGATGTTTGTACATACATGTATATGATCTCAGCTTTAACATATTCAACAGATAGATGTGTGTACATACATGTATATGTTCTCAGCTTTAACATATTCAACAGATAGATGTGTGTACATACATGTATATGATCTCAGCTTTAACATATTCAACAGATAGATGTGTGCACATACATGTATATGATCTCAGCTTTAACATATTCAACAGATAGATGTGTGTACATACATGTATATGTTCTCAGCTTTAACATATTCAACAGATAGATGTATGTACATACATGTATATGATCTCAGCTTTAACATATTCAACAGATAGATGTGTGTACATACATGTATATGATCTCAGCTTTAACATATTCAACAGATAGATGTGTGTACATACATGTATATGTTCTCAGCTTTAACATATTCAACAGATAGATGTTTGTACATATATGTATATGTTCTCAGCTTTAACATATTTTCTGTACCAAAACTGGAAAGTGGTTCAAGCTCTCATAAACAAAATATGTAATACCAGAGACAGTATTGAAAGGTCCAATCTTTGCGTTCGACCGCTATGTTATTTTTGGTTATCATAATTATGGTTAGTTAGAGCAGCAACAACTCTACACAATTATTATGTTTGGCGTAAAATAATGCAGAAAGTATTACTGATAAACACAATGCGGACATGAACAAATACAGACATTGTTGTTGACGTAATATCATGCAAAATTTACTGTTAACGTAAAATATGCATACATTATGTTTGACATAATATATTGCATACATTATTGTTGACGTAAAACAATGCATCTATTATTGTTGGCGTAAAATAATGTTTACATTACTGTTGACGTACAAATGCACACATTATTTTTGGCGTAATATAATGCATACATTATTTGACGTAATATAATGCACACATTATTGCTGACGTAACAATGCATACATTATTTGACGTAATATAATGCACACATTGTTGTTGACGTAAAACAATACATACATTACTCTTGACGTAATATAATGCATACATTATTTGACGTAATATAATGCACACATTATTGCTGACGTAACAATGCATACATTATTTGACGTAATATAATGCACACATTGTTGTTGACGTAAAACAATACATACATTACTCTTGACGTAATATAATACATACATTAGTTTGGACGCAATGAACATAGTCATCTTAGTGGACGTAATTCAGAAATGATCGCCGTTGTCATGTTGATATATTTAAATTGTCGACAGGAAACAGTATTAAAAGTATATGTATTATTTTGACATTCGTGAGTCTGTTAAATCCACATGGCTGGTGTAATATGTTACATATATGACGCATACAACATAACCCGTTAACTGCCTGATCTCCATTAGTTAAAGGATTCGAGTAACATAGGTCATAACTACTGATTAACAGATGACCACTTGCAGCTTTAGCAGTAATGTTCTCTAAGGACAATGAGTTCCCCTGATTTACACCCAGCACAGTGTCGAGGTAGACACTTCAGTGGACACTGATGTTCCTGAAGCTCAGTCAGTGTTGTACCGTTCCCTGACCACTCCTGAAGCATGGCATATTATGCAGGAATCCTGAATAATGCATATGGTTTCATGTTACAAACAGGTAATAATTATATTGCAATTTTTAAAGTCAATCATGTGTTAATGTCACACTATAATATGCAGTTATGCAAACGCCAAAACCACTCTACAGTATAAACATTAATATAGAATGTATCACGTGAATATGGAATGCATCAAGCTCTTCTGACCCCAGTTGATGTGAAAAACAAAGCTTACACTTGCTCCACAGAAGTCTTTGGAGGAGATGATGACCGAATTTTACACCCTGAACATTTATTGATGATAACACCTTACCTCAAGGATAACATGTAATAATTTATAAACAGTTCGTATTAACTACTTCAGGCACTATGCCGGGGCGGTTGGGTTGCCTAGTGGTAAAAGCGTTCGCTCGTCATGCAGAAAGTCCGGGTTCGATTCCCTACATAAGTACAACGTGTGAAGGTCATTTCTGGTTTCCCGCTCAGTAATATTTCTGGAATATCACTTAAAGCAGCGTAAAACCATACTCAACCATTGAGTCAGGCACTGTGCCCGTTAGTGCATTGTCTAGTTTCCGTCTAGACCTTGACCTCTGTGTACTTAGGGTAATCTTTAACTGTTAGATTGATAAACATCTTACGTATTGAATAAGCAGAGCAACAAAGAGGGGTTTGATGGATTTGAATGAAATTTGATAGGTCTGTACATTTGCCAGTCCCTAGTCCCTCATTAATTAAAGGTTACAATCAATACATATCGATCAGTATTGTCCACGTATCCTGTGCTCTTTGTGATGGTAGGCGAGGAACACGTTCAGAACACTATTAATTTCATTTCAAAATATTCCAGGACTTCACCCCAGCGTTCACACGACACAATACATTGGCCGCCGGTTCCGAGTCGATTATATCATGCTGTACCCCTCATTGCTTCCTCATAACTCGGAGGAGCGTCAGCAAAGTCGGGTGGTTTCACGAACGAAGCGTCCTGAAAGGCTGGGTTGACCATCGGGCCTCCTGATCCTCCCAAGTAGGCAAATCCCGCAGAGCCACCAGACGGCAGGTTCACCTCCGTCGACCAAGTCCGCATCCTGTTGGCCTGGGGGTTGGGTGGACGTCTCTGTCGGGAAGACAGGAGACAGGCACTCAGTATCATCATAGCGTTCCCTAGCACCGCCAGGGCGAACCCCCAGGATAGAGTAACGTTGTTCCGAGACACCAGCAGCTGTGTCCGTATTGCGTAGATAGAGGAGCCGATGATCCCGGTGATACCTTCGGGGAAAAACACAGTATAGCTGGTTACAACACGACACACTCAGGCATACAATGGCAATGGAAAAATCAGCAGTGATGTCAATGAGTGAATATTGCTTACATCATTTTGCTGCTTTTTGTGGCAACAAGAAGACCTGGACCAACTTGCATTAAGCTATCTTAGCACTTACTATACCTGCCATACTCTGCAGAGACTTAATGTAAATTAAGATCACTTTTAGCAGATGGGCCCCGTATTGTAAATAAGGGCAGTAATGATTCATACGGAGCGGTTGGGTAGCTTAGTGGTTAAAGCGTTCGCTCGTCTCGCCGAAGACCCGGGTTCGATTCCCCTCAATGGTACAATGTGTTACTCAGTTAGTCGGTCCCCCCCCCCCCACCACACACACACACACACACCTCCCTCCCCGACCTTTCAAGCAGCTATTAAATATATTCCATTTGACAACATCCTGTGTCCCTCCCTCAGATAAAACATGTATGTGTTTAAACAATGATGAAATCTCGTCTCTCTCGAACATTAACGCTCAGTCCGGCTGCTTGATAAACTATTAAAAATATAATGGTATGTCAGCGCGCTCCGACAATGGACACAAAGCATATCTATTGTGTTTAATGTTCCACGAAACAGGTCCTTGCCTATGCCATGGAGCTTCTATCAACTACAGCATACATTGATTTGACAAAATTTTAGATGCGGTAATGTTCTTGTCCTCGCACGTGCAAGCGTTGATTGCCACAGTATGAACGCAAACAACAATGAAAAACCACGTTGCTCTGCTTAAACATGCCATTCCAATTTCACTTGGGGATCTTAGATAACAGTGTAAATTATCCATACCAGCATGTCCTAAAATGTTATTGTAGTCCTATCATAACATGTACAGAGTGCTTGAACATGGCGATGGTGTTGTTTGAGGGATCGAGTGACCAGTTGGCACGAGGAAGGTCTATACTTCTCATGATTAATGTCATTTTGTGTAAACAATATGCATAACATCTAATCTGATCTTGTAACAACGTTACCATGTTACATGTTGATCTTCTCGTGTATGCGCGGGTCGGGCACAGTAACATTACTGAATATGGGTAGCAGCGAGCTTGGGGGTATCATGGGAGGCCTGGCTGGAATGATTTTTCCTAATTTTCTTTTCTCTATGCTTTGGTTTTTGAATTTTTTGAGTTTCATTTCACTACCTAATTTCTACATATCTACTTATATTTCAGCTTTTTCTTAGGAATGTATGTATTTAGCTTACATTTTGCGCCACGAGAAATGAGAAACACCGATATGTTACAAATACGCTTGCATTATTCCATTGTAGGCGGATGTCCCATAACGCTGACTATGTCTATTTCTAGGCCTTGTGTTTACGACCTCACAAGTCAATTAAAGAGAGTTAATGGGTGAGTGTTATGTTACGTCACATTAGCAATACACATTAGTAGCCTGTCAATACCTGAATCCAGACCAGACAATCCGGTGATTGGAAGCATAGACAACGAATCACGTCATCTGGAAATGACAATGCAGCGCCTCACGCCACACGCATCACTGTACATAAGGTGATGCTGGTAACGCTAGCTGAGTTACTGACATCCTCGAGCGATTTTAAACATTCTTATTCTTCAACACATAGATATTAATCAGCGAATTCAGTGCATTCAATGCATTCACACCATCAAAGTTTATCAGTGTGCTTAATAATTCTGATTGTATACACATGGAAGACTGCTAATTCGAGGAGAATAATCGAAGCTTGACAAATTCACGGTGTAACACATGATGATCTGGATCACACAAAATTTTCATGGAAAATTTCAAAACCCTTCTCCATATAGATACGACAGATTGCTATTTTACCCGCGATTAAAAGAACTTTTTCTTAACGAGATTTGTTAACCAGAGAACAGGAACCATACCAACATTGGAACCAAAAAGTTAAAACGCTTTCAACGAAACGATGATAAAAGAGGGATAATACACGTTCATTTTACGTTAAAAGACTGCAACTTGCGTAGGAAATGTAAGCTTGGAAATGAAATTGTGACGATACATTTGTGTATGACACAGTGTACATTAAGCAATGGGGTGCGATTGCCCTTACATATATAACATATCCATTTCTAGTCGTTCGGCACCGTGAGCTGTTGTTCGTCGTTTAAACTATATTAGTCAGTCTGATTGCTTTTCATCATAATAAGGGGAATCAAATAAGAAAGTAAACAAACACCATAGGTGAGATAATGACAACATCCTCAGCACAGTAGGTAGGGTTTGTCTGGTCATCTGGCATAACTCTGTCGCTGTACCATGTTTTCTCCAATAACCGCTACCTGCAGCTTCCTTTAGTCTCTTGTTTCCATTAATCAGTTTACCATTATGTTAATATAACATTCATGACCTCTGCAAACTTTCAGTAAGCTGTACGGTAGATATTTGGTAGAAATTTCTTTTTTTTTCTACCAATAACAAAATTGTTGTCAGATGTAATTCCGAATTTTGGTTTGTACCTTTATGTTGCAGTATTTGTTTCAGGTAAACAAGCGAGTTGTGTTTGTGACAGGTGCCACAGACGGGACGGGATATGCTTACCTTTGTCTCGAACACCTGGTGTCATCACAGTTAGATTGTGATTCATAAACACCTGCCCAGCAGAGATTCTTTATCTCCATGGAAATGGTTTAGTATATTTACCTGCAAGAGTGGGCAGCGCCTTCACGGACCTCGTGTCCACTGCAGTCCGTGCATACTGGGTGAAGTTGTATCGTATCAGCAGTAGTAATGATATCACAGCAAATATCAGACTGATTGTCGTCAGACCTCGAGTAGCTTGGTGCCAGGAATGCACCTCTGAAATTGAAGTGAGATGCACTGAGAATCCCGCGTGATAAAGAACAGATATTTCTAATTGGATATCTTCATCAAAATACATGTACGTCATGAGATATACATATTGAGCTTGTGACTCTTACTTCGTTACTATTTAAGTGAATAATTTGGGTTTCATTTTTGTCTAACGTTATTTGATACTATTTCATCAGCAAACTAGAGCCCAAGCATCACGAATTATTCTTTGCATTGTGCAGTCCATTATTTTATAATAATCACTATGACAACAGCCACAATGTCGTCACTGCTGTCGTGACGTCAATGTCGCCACATACAACAGAGATACTCTCGCATGCGTGTGTGAACATTTGATTAAACGTCTATTTTTAGTTCAGTGTCATTATAGTCGGAATGAATGAATATTGCTTCATTAGCTGAAGCTCAGTGCCAGGAATCTAAGAAACAGATCATAAAACACATACATGTTAATAATCGGACTGAATGACTGTCGGAACAATCTTTATCTAATGTGACGAATTTACAGACCACTGTTAGTCAAACCCGAACTAAGAAAGTCTCACAAACACGACTTCAGGAGAGTACTATTTTCGAGCGAAATAAGTTCGAGTACATTTTTCACGGACTAAAAGGGGCGGTGGGGTAGCGTGGTGGTTAAAGCGTTCGCTCGTCACACCGAAGACCCGGGTTCGATTCCTCACATGGGTACACTGTGTGAAGCCCATTTCTGGTGTCCCCCGCCGTGATAACTCACTCACTCAGTCAGTAATAAGTTTCGGGCTGTATTATCCATGGACTAAGGTGCTATTGATGTGTCAATAGTAAAGATATTCAGATCCACAGTATCCATAGACTTAGGGTCATGGATTAACGAAGTTCGGATTATAAAGTGTCCATATCAACAAGGTCGAAACTGACTAAACCTCGAGTACATTTCTAAATGCAAGTAGCAGATATGTTTTGGTTAATCAGGTTGTGGAGAAAACAGGTCCGGCGTATGGCCTCCTGATTAACAAGAAACCCGAATCGGCAAGGCCCTGCCATAGTCTTCTCACAATCCCTCAACTCCATCATTTTCCCTTCCGCCCAGCTGTTTCTGCTAAAACCGTAAATGAAGCAAGTCTAGTTTGCCCCGGGTTCTGAATCTCACATCTCACTAGTCTCCTTTTCAATTTAAAAGGGATTATTTGTTTCTATCAAAATCATAAGCTATTACAATAATAAGACTAAGCGTTAGTTTTTAGGCAGTCATGAGGAATTCGTGTTTGGTATTTATTTTGCAGGAGATACAATATGTGTACTGGTTTAAACAATGTCCAGTTTAACGAGGGTACGCTATCCACGTTGCACTCACTACCACACAGGCACACGTGCCATCACATATCAGTCTTGCATTACCATCACACACACATAACGGTAGAGTAATTACCAATACAGTCAGGCACAGCTAAGATTAGACCATAATAGTACCATGTGTCTAAATGCATTGATTCATATCTCATACTGACATTATAATGACAAGCAGGCGTACCAGTAATGATTGAAGGGTAATGTGGCTCCATTAATACACTGTGATGGAATTACTATAGCCCAGTATGACTTGGTGTTTTTTCGAGTAATTATTTCTGGAGATCTGTGATCAATACTATTGTTAAAGAAATAAATATGTTGTTGCTGTGGCAACAATACAGCTTGAAACAGAGTGTTAGATTCGAAAACTTGTTCTACGCCATAATCGTTCCGTGTATGTGAATTAAGTCTGATTTATATTCCTGGATTTTAAAGACGGGTGGTGAGTAACCGCATTCATGAAACACTGCAGCCTAGGTATTACAAATCAATGAAGAAACGGGATATGGTTACGAAAGCAGTCTCGCCAGATCTCCCTTCATAAGGTACTATGTCTCCTAACGATTTTACAGCGCCTGGCAGCTTTAGTCTTAGAACGAGGTCGAATCTGGAATGTTGACGGAAAGCCGTATATTAAAATAGCCTCAAAGAACCATTATCTGTGTGGTTGTCTTACTGGCAGCGCTGGCAAGGTGATCCTATAAAACCACGGCGACAAATATCGACTCCGAGGCTTGAACTTTTATGTATAATCTAAAGCTAGTCTTGCTTGAATTCCACCGCTATTTGGAGGCCATTTCGACTGGTTTGTCAGTTGTGCTGGAAGTCTCTTCGTTAATATTCAGGTTTTGAAAAGTACAGACATTTACCATTATCGAGGGTGGGTGGGGAAGGGAAACCGATATTTGAGGGAGAAGCTGAGCCGTTGGGTGAGTGAGTGAGGTTGGTTTTACGACGCTTTTAGCAATATTCCAGCAATATCACGGCGTAGGACACCAGAAAAGGTACACACATTGTACTCATGTGGGGAATCGAACCCGGGCCTTCGGCGTGACGAGCGGACGGTTTCACCGCCCCTGAGCCGTTGGGAATCAAACCTGTAAGTTCTGCGTGGTCAGCGAGCGCACAACCTCTACACCAAACATGACCGCAATATTTATATACAACATGGTAGGCTAGTCTGTTTGTCTCAAAATGATGAACTGCCAAAAATTCAAAATCGGGAATAGTCTATTAAATGTCGATACGATACATGCAATGAATACTCTGTACCCAACAATATCTGCTGTTTGTTATTGTGTACCCATCACTGGAAAAAGAGTTTAAAAAACTATCATGTTGTTACGTGTACAAGTTGACGTATTTAACGGAGGGAGCACGACGGTAGGGGGAACAGCACAAACATGTACTGCACGTGCTACACAACGGTACAGGGATGACAGCGTCGTGTCATAAAATTAGTCGCAATCTGACCCATGTCACAACCCTCGTCTTCGACATTGCTTGTGTCACTGGGATACATGTATATGTCAACTTAAAGGGTGTAGCGAGGGAAATAGTACATGCAAGCAAACAGAGTGCAATACATGCCTTTCTTAAACACAAAAACGATTACCGAAAACACCCAAGCACCAACAGGCCCTTACAAAACGAAAGATGGCTACAGATTGATCTCCAGTTGCGGTTTGATGGAACAGAACAGTTCATCTATTTTCAAAACACACCTAGAGACGCATTCATTTCGTTAAAAAAACTACAACGATGCATGATTTGTATTCTTTGAGGCGATATTTAAAGTTACAGATGTTACAGATCATGATATGATGGAGTTGAGAGAACATGTGTATGCTCATCATCAGCTCTGTTTCTGGGCAGCAAAAGAAAACCCTCTGTTGCACTTGTAAGAAGAGTCGACTTCATCCAGGCAAACGAGTCGGTTGGATTGCTATTCTGTTCCACACACTGCTTGTATACACGACTGAGTGGTTGAGAAAGCCTCTCCTTAAATCACCGACTCTGGGCAAACTTAGTGAATGACTTCACCTGGCGTACATGCATCGCGTTACAATCCAGCAGTACATCGCCGTCAACAATATCAACTTCAACATTGATATCTTGTCCAACACCCAAGGCGCAATAGCTGTGGACTTCCTTGTTTTCGATAGTCTTGACATTCATCACCAGGGGGTCATCAGATGTGCAAAGGTTCAAGCGACTCCGCGTTAATTAAACCCTGACCTCCCGAAATAACTGGTACACGGTGATCCTGGCACACGGTGAACCTAGCACAGGCTGGTCAGGCTCATCCTGAGATCAGGGTGCTGCTGTACAAAACAACCTTAGCGCTAAGGCTACCTTAAGTCCATGTTAAGGTATGGGAGGTGCGGTCACCTTAGCGCTAAGGCTACCTTAAGTCTATGTTAAGGTATGGGAGTTACGGTCACCTTAGCGCTAAGGCTACCTTAAGTCCATGTTAAGGTATGGGAGTTACGGTCACCTTAGCGGCTCCTTAAGCACTAAGTCCATGTTAAGGTATGGGAGTTACGGTCACCTTAGCGCTAAGGCTACCTTAAGTCCATGTTAAGGTATGGGAGTTACGGTCACCTTAGCGCTAAGGCTACCTTAAGTCCATGTTAAGGTATGGGAGTTACGGTCACCTTATCGCTAAGGCTACCTTAAGTCCATGTTAAGGTATGGGAGTTACGGTCACCTTATCGCTAAGGCTACCTTAAGTCCATGTTAAAGGTATGGGAGTTACGGTCACCTTGGCGCTAAGACCGCTTTGTACAACGACACCCAGGGCCCTTCCCCTTTACGTTGCCCAGACAGCGCATGGGACACCTCCCAGGAAGCACTGCCTAGTCCAGTCCACCAATGAGTTTTCGGAGACACCAAGAACAATGGGGAGTCGGACAATTGGGTGATTGGGTGACCTTGCAAGCGTGACATGTCGAGGTTCGCATATTTGCGTGACATGTCCACGGTTTTCCTGAATCTTGTCAATCACATGAGTGTCGAAAGGACAGAGAATTCAATGACAAATGATTACATTTGATTTATGTAAAAGGACATCAGCAGATTTATTGGTATGGTTACGTCCGAGATTGTATATGGACCTAATTAATAACCAAGGAATTTCATAACCCTTTTTCCGTGACTCACGTATTTTACGTCGTTTAAGCCCGGTGGAGGCCGTGGCGCCTCCATAGACAAAGCGTGGGACTGTCTCGTCAAATTAACTGCATAGCAGCAGCAGCAGCAGCAAATGAAACCGATGTTGTAATATCTGTTTTAAATTAGATACTTTACATTTTGTTGTTGTTGTTGCTGTTGTTGTTGTTGTTGCTGTTGCTTCTGCTGTTGTTCAATTGTCACAATTAACAGTGAGTCAGATTTAAAGACTGATCAGGAATATGTTGGACATATACCTGTAGCGACCAACACAAGCAGCGGAGATGATAATACTCTCATTGAGAGGCTGTGAGGTGGTGAGTAATAAGTCTCGTCACGTCATTGATCGAGTTCGATTAACGTCACTCATGTCACGAATAATTCATGATACACATGAAACATAATCGATTTATCGGTTATGGTGAAGAAAGGCGTGCATTATGATCTGAGTCGTAGCTTGTGTATCTCATTAGATCAACGTTTAAAAAAAATAAAAATAAAATACACATCGGTTTAAAATATCTAGATTTAAATCGACGCCATCTTCGTTGATATAAAGTTGGATACACCAACCGTTTATAACTGCGTTCATAGTAATATGTATATTAAGGAGTGGGTTTGTCAAAGACATTTTAATCACATAAAGCTTAGCCCTTCACGTATTTGAAAGTACATCTCTCAAATTAAGAAGGATTAACATGTACAGGTAAACAATGTCGACTTCAGTGCCGTGACTATTATTTGAAAATTCGTCGCCACACTTTCAGGCTGACGTCACCAATGCAGGCCCCCATGTCTCTGCTAGGTCAACAATGCAGATTTGAAGGGACACCCCACCTCTTCCTGCTTATCTTTTCAGCCAATCAGATGACCTGGGATAACCCTTACCCTAACCTAGATGTTAGCATGTGTCATCAGTCGCGTCATTCTGAAAGAAGGGCTTTTTCCAAGAAAGCCGGTCGCAAAAAATGATAGTGGTGGGAGTGGTGAAAGTTCTAATGTGTTCAAATACTCATCAAATCATTGCGGGATGAAAGCGAAGGCAAATAGTTGAATGAGTGAGTGAGTTTGGTTTCGCGCTTCTTTGAACAGTTTCACTTTTCAGTTACACCACGTCGTATCAGCTTAATGCTGGAAGACAGGTATTAGACATTTACTTTTGTAACTGTTGCTGACGAACCTGGAAATTCAATCAGGGTAAATTGGGCTTCAAATCCGCCGTTAAACGTTTCTGGCATCACTACAGCCCAAATGTCAGCACCGTAGACGACGGGGCCACCCTAGAACAGAGCTACATAATGCCTCGCTGGTCGGAACATCAGGTGTAACTCAACTTAGTTTCATTACTCATGCTATACACAGCCGGAACACTTATTCTGATTTACAACATACCGCACCTATCCAGGCAAAATGGATCATAGACACGTGAGACGGGGAGGTGGAGACAGGATGTCAGCGTGCTGCGTGCGTGCGTGCGTGCGTGCGTGCGTGCGTGCGTGCGTGCGTGCGTGCGTGCGTCTGTGAGTTGTGGGTGGGTGAGAGAAAATTTAGGTTGCATCGGCCATCTATATACGTCGACAATAACAATTTAATACCTACAAGCCGCATACAAATACGTCAAAATTACATTTAAAAGATACATGTTATATATTTCAGTATATTGGTTAAACACGGCCATAGGCATATGCATATAGCTGGAGACTTGTTACAACACTGGGATATGTAACTGCACTAAAAGTAGGTCGCTCGCAAATCTTTGCTACAGTCAAACTGTCAGTTACACAAGTATCAATCATATCACTGGACTTCACAGGAGAGGGTCAACGTTTATTCCATGCTCTTTGTTCCAGCAGCTGAATTGGATTGTAACGTGATTGTTAAGATTTAACAGTTTTAATAAGCAAGTGTTTAAACAAATTAAAGCCGCTTTTAGCAATATTCCAATAATATTCCACTAGAATTGGGCTCCACGCATTGTAACAATATGAAGAATCGAACCAGCGACGTCGACTAAAGGAGCTAATGCTTTACCCTATGGGCTAACCACCACCCAAATAGTTCTAGTGTTAGGTCATGTACACTTGAGAAGGGTGAATATGGTTTTTGTGTATGTAAAACATCTTATACATTTAATATTGCATATTTTCATGTTTTTAAAAATAGAAATATTTCATGCAGTAATTCCATCAGAAACATAACAGGATTTTTTGTCGACTATATAATTAGTGTACCTTTTGAACGAAAATCAGATAATAAAAACAATTAAAGTCACACATATGACACCGTGCACATATTACATATCTTGAGGGCGTATGTCTCTACAATACATATTATCGCATGCAGTGAATGCAGAGTCTCATTCCTGTAATAAAACCTTCCCGTGTTTAATCACGTCACTTCCCAACTCACCGTCACAAAGCGTATAAATCATTAACCAGGTGAAGCCCATCTGTTTACCACAAATGTTCACCTAATTACAGTAATGAAACAATGTTTACTTGACAGCTGTCACTCACCGTGGCTGAACAACTGGCACGAAGATATTGTCTGTCCACATATTTGCCACAACCCATGGTATTCCGTGACACTGTCCTCTCTATACAGCGAGTATATTTGTGTCCAGGCGGGGCTGCCGAATCCGATCACGTACACACAGAGTCCAGCCACCTGTATCATCACACCTGACTGATACCGGAGTCCTTTTTCCGACCAGTGAGGCATTTTGAAAATGAAATGAACGTCACGGGGTGAAATTGACTACATGTTCATTTCGTAGAGTGAAATGTTAATTCACGTACTGGCGTCAGGTAACTCAAATCTACCTGAAATCCACAGCGCTTTGTCAATTCCAAGCCTCATGTGTGAGAGAGGTGTGTCGCCTTTGAACAATGTCTATTTCACTGGTGATAACAAACGGGTTGACGCAACTGGAAATAGCGAGCACCTGTCGGCCATGGACAGTAACCGCGTGAAATCTACCTGTACAGACAAACAGTGTAGATGAGTAGGTCGCTCGCCTTTACAGTTCAACCACCGCGATACGGCCGCCCCTGGCAGTGCTATTGCCATGAAAATCAACGAGTTCCTGAATCCGGGAGAGGTAAACCGAAAATGGTTTATGAAACCGGTTACATGTACTGCACATGACAAGCATAATGTAATGATTAGAACACTTGACTGATGCGTGTGGCGCGCTGATACCACGATAATATGTTCACAATTACATTATTTAAGCGTGTTTAACGTTTGCGGGGTTTTCGATAAATCGTTTAATGTGTGTGTTACGTAACGTAAAATTGTCCATCATAGCATGAGACGTAATCCTTATAAATATAACCAGGTCAGCGAAAACTAGTCCGCTTCAAGGTAGGTGTGACATATCGTTGACGTGACACTGTGTTTTCATATTTCCTGGAGTGATAACACGCGTGATATGATACAATTTGCATTCCTAACTTTTAATCAAATGTGTGTGTGTATATTCATGTAGTGAAATCGCTTTCCTTTGGCCAGGATACAACAGTCTGAACTTCGCTGATGTATTGTATATTACGCATTACAATATGTCGACTGTACAATCACCCTGACATTCACTTTTTCCATGGTGTGGTTAGTCGGTGTACATGTAAAGGCTACCTTGGAGATTCTTTGAGTGGCATGTAAGAAGTTGTTAAGTACAATGTATATTGACAAATTTATGGATAAATTCTTTTATATTGTGAGTGCGACGGTTCGATAGAGGTTAATTCCGCTTGACAACGGTACAAGAATCTGTACCCAAACGTCGCACTCACAAATAAAAGAATTTATCCATAGATTTGTCAGGAAAGTCGAGATTTCACTTTGGTTTAGTTTCTGAAGACCCCCTCTCACTGGGCTTCCATCCAGTATAGACCCGTGAAGATTCGGGTTAGAATCGGGCTTCAGTAACCCATGCTAGTCGTAAGAGGCGACTAACGGGATCGGTTGTCAGTCCGCTGACTTGGTTGACACATGTCCTCGTATTAAAGTTCATATTGTCAGCCACTTGTTATCTTGTCCAGACTGGATTATTCCCAGATCACTGTCAGACAGCTGGAATACTGCTGAGAGCGGTGATAACATAAACATACAAACAAACCGTTCCGATCTAAGTACACAGCCCATTATTCGCTGAAAACAACAGAGCGTGAATTTTTGTTGATCAGTCCGGCATTAAACAACCTGTATAGAAGGATCAGGAATCGCATTAAGTGTCCAGAGTTAAGTATGACGAGTGAGTGAACGACTTTAATCCGGCTCTTGTATTCTGCGTGTATTTGGCGTTACTACCGGGGTACTGTTCACAAATATATCAACCAGTCGTATCTAATCAGTCGTTGTTATACTGTTGCTTCTTCTTAACCTTAAGTACAAATTAACTGTGGGATTTCTCGTACGAATAATGAAAAATGAAACAGGTTTAGGTTTGCAACCGCCATTCGCTAAACATGCATATACGATAGTTGTTCAAATATGTAGGTCTGGTTGGTTGGCTTGGTGGGTTGCTGTGTAACTCCGCACTCGTCAATATTCCAACTATTTGAGATTGACATTACGTACATTTATCTAAACAGCTATGATACGATGATATGCATTGATATGTGGATAACCACGTTTTACACAGGTAGATAACAATATTTCGTAAAGTATGGACAGGTACCAATTACTAAATATCTCAACATGCAGTTACAAAAACCAGATAACAGACATACACTGTCTAAGTGACAGTCATCCACACAGCATACGTAGCTACGTGTGATAACTCTTCATCATCATAATACGTAGGTAAATGTCCGTACTGTGTAACTGAATATACGACCAGTAAAGCAACGAGTGGGGTCTCTTTAGGTACACGGTAAGTGTAGATAACGGCACAAAATGTAGGTGAAGGTGAATCACAAGCTATATTGGTAACAGTCATATATAATATGTAGGTAAAGTTCAAACACAGTAAATCACGAAATACTTAGGTAACGGCACATAATGTAGGTAATTGTCGATCACACACGGTGGAGGTCGATATGGTGATTACACGAACTGTAGGTAGCGGTCAATCACACAATGTGTATGTATCGGTAAATCACATGATTATATAGCTAACGGCAATTCGCCTAATATATACATGTTATCACGTCCATTCTCATATATGTACCTAGTCATTCGTGCAATGCGAAGCAAATATACTTTTGTATATTCACTGACAGCTTAAACTCAATAGCGCAGCGTTATATACTGATACATTATCTGTGGATTTTACGAGTGTTTCAACTGACAAATTTTACATCCGTGTTTTTAATTCTCATTAAAACAACGTTTGGGAATCTAAAATCGTTCATCACTACAATATAAATACTCTAATAATACGCACTCGATATGCATATCTGTCAGAGAGGATGTGTAAAATTACTGTAATTAGGAATGAGACAATTTACAAAATGTATCAGTCGTTTTCCAAATTGACTGAAATATGTCCATGTAAACTTTGTTATGATAACGAATTTAATACATTTTCATGTTGAATTTAAAACCCAGTAACTGAATATTGTGTTTGAAAACGAAAACCAAAGAAGGCCTTTATAAATGAAAGTATGTATTATTTTTCTATTATCATTTTACCCCATGTTAGGGCTTCTATTTCTAGCACATTAATTCTATTGTATTGTTTGAGCCCTTTTGAACTTCTTAATAATATTAGTCAGTCCACAGAATGTTCAGTCATCTTGTAAAATGACTGAAATATTTCGGCATTTTGTATATTACCTAAGTGAATCACAGTTTACACACTAATATAAACAAGTCTCTCTATAAGTCAGCTATCACAAGAATAGTGTTTAGGAATATTGTGAGCGCGTCTGACAATGGATATAGCACATACTGAATTTATACGATATTTCTGTTTTTGTATAGAGAGTTTATACATAAATGTCGGTGTTACAACTGTCCAGGTAGACTACCCCTTTCAGTGAAATCTCTTTACGCCGTGAAATACGCTGCATATTCATTCAGATCTGATCTTCTTAACTGTGTGCGTATGTTTTCACCCTTAAACACATTCCTTTCTGATGTATCATCTATTTGTTGTCGTATGTGCATTGCAATAATGTTCATTATAGGGCAGAAATTTAACATAGCAATGTTGTTAACTGAGTGAATGAAAGTGAAAAACCATGAAACAAGTTTCTGAGGTCCTAAGGGACGCAACTCTGAACAGCGAATTGCGGCGCCTGGATCCAAGCAGTAGTCAGTAACTAATGAATTTATTAACTGAATGCTTCGGTGATCCTTCATCATTACAACCATTTACTTAGTCCGCTATTCACACCCGACGAACACTTATAGCGAACAATACAGATAATAACAAAGATTATAACTTTATGGATAGCATTGTTTGACGAACTCATGTAAGCTGCAATCCTTAGCGAGCATTAAAAACAGCTAATCCTGTTACATGAACGTGAACCTATCGTGGCTTACAGGAACTAATTAGAGTCTTAAAGAAACAAACTTCCATCTCCCAGTCGTTTAGCCGCATTGAAGTTACGCGGCGTAATCACTAAATAGCGTTAGTGACTTGATAAACTGGGTTTCGGATCAGCATGGAAGGGAGTTGACAACCAGGGCCCCGTTACACAAAGCGATCGCAGCGCTACGACAGTCGCAAGTCTATGTTAAAGTATGGGAGTTACGATCACCTCAGCGCTACGACAGTCGCAAGTCTATGTTAAGGTATGGGAGTTACGATCACCTTAGCGCTACGACAGTCGCAAGTCTATGTTAAGGTATGGGAGTTACGATCACCTTAGCTCTACGACAGTCGCAAGTCTATGTTAAGGTATGGGAGTTACGATCACCTTAGCGCTACGATCGCTTTGTGGAACGGGGCCCAGGGCCCTTGAATTCTCACATCTGATCGGAATATGTTTACCAAAAACATTTCCCTGTACGTAATTACATACCATCAGCCTACGAAAGGGTAATCAAGCAACAGACTCTGTTAATCAACTATCCAGCCGACATCCAATCAACTAACAAATCAATCGTGTATTGGTTTCATTACTTATGTTATTCGTTGTCCTTACTCCCCACCTGGCCCCTCCAGTTATGTGCAACTTGTTATCAATTACCTGTTGTTGTTAATGTTAATTTGCTACTTGTCACAACATACTACATATACATACGTCTCATCTCTTGGATGTACACCCGTGTGCGAAATACGCATTATGTCGGAAAGCGGCACGTTAAATCTATAAAACCATCATCATCATTGATTGTACACATTCAGCTTGGCAACGGTGTGGGGCGGTTGGGTAGCCTAGTGGTTAAAGCGTTGGCTGGTCATGCCGAAGACCCGGGTTCGAATCCCCACATGGGTACAATGAAGCCCATTTCTGGTGTCCCCCGCCGTGATGTTGCTGGAAAATTGCTAAAAGCCTCATAAAACCAAACTCAGTCAGTCAGTCAGTGGTAACGGTGTAGGAAACTTCGCTTTATGCAATAAACAAGAAGTTGTTATCCTGTGAGTCCTGTGCTTTGTTATTCAAACACAGGTAGATTTGGTTCTTGAGAGGCATATAGAAGTTGGTACAAGTTGTATTCAAGTATTAGACAAAATATTATGGATGTCAACTTCTTCTTTATTGTATACACAACGTTTCAGGGCTTTTCCTTGCCCTTCGTCAGGTCATTCACAAGGAAAAGCCCTGAAACGTTGTGTATACAATAAAGAAGAAGTTGACATCCATAATATTTTGTCTCATGCAGGTAGATTTACGAAAATGTGCGTGCTGGTAATTACTGGTTTCTGTCATAGCTTACTAGACCACGAACACGGTAAACTATATATCTGCGTATGACAAATGTCTAGCAGAACAGCCAATTTAAATGGTGAATCATTAAATCATTGATTTATCTCAGATGTTACATTTTAACCAAGAGTTATCACCTGTTCGTTTGTAAACCTGAAGTAGCTGAAGTCATCCTATGTAGTTTTTTAGGTGCATAATTATGATGTTCCTCGATACCTTCACATTACAAATCTGGTAAGCATTAAAACAACAACAAACATATGACAGTTTGGCTATACATTTTCATTATATTTAAGGCTTCTCCTTCTTGCAACGTCCAATAGGTTTCGCGCAGCGCAGCGAAAATAGCGAAGAACCCAATTCAAACCAGTCGAAATTACAGGCCACGGGGATGGGTGTTTGGATATAGATGGATATTATATGTGTATCTTTATTGAACTGTAGTGTACGACTTAAATACATTAATCATCTTCTTATTTCTCTATAATAATGATAATAATAGTATTTAAACTTCTTTTACAATAAAATGATTTATGAAAATATAACGTTCCCTCGATGGAAACGTTTTTCATTAAAGAACGTATACCTCACAGTGGGGACAGATCAAGACGGGATCCCGGGGCGCTGGGGTAGCCTAGTGGTTAAAGCGTTCTGGGTTCGATTCCCCCCATGGGTACAGTATTTATGAAGCCGATTTCTGGTGTCTCCCGCCGTAATTTTGCTTGAATGTTGCTAAAAGCGGCCTAAAACCAAACTCACTCACTCACTCAAGACAGAATGAGCGTGAGACGCTTGTCAGAAAGAGTCACCGCGACAGGTGCTTCTGAATCACCGCTATTCTCGTAAGGGTGCAATATTACTTTAACGTGGGCCTACATCTGCCAAGACTGACTGGAACCTGTTAAAACCTGCTGAAGTCAAGAGTTGAAACGAATAACGTGTTGTATCATCAAAAGTACGATCGATCTCTGTAGCTCAATTTGGTTTTTATCCGTCGTACGACCCTACGTTTGCCAGTGATAACTTTCAGCCATCATATTAGTCTAAAACATTTTTCAGGAATATTTTATATGTCTACGAATCTTGAGGCATTATCGTCAAACCAATTCTGAAGAAGCAGACTTGCTTACATCTCTGCCCGCTATTTTAAATGCGTTGATATGATATGCTTAGTTCCTTACATCTATTTACCTGAAGCCTATATTATTATATGGCTTTGTATTTAAAACCCCATTGTAAGTTTGCTCACTGTTTGCATAATAGCTCTCAATTTCCACACGTATGCATAGGTTGTTTGTGAAAATGATTTCCTTACGAACTAAGAACATGACATGATAGTTTGTTAGTTTGTTAGTTTGTCCAGCTACTAAAGTTCCCAGCTGACACGAAAACGTGACGGAAAATGGTTTAGTGGTACACAATCGCACAAAGGCAAAATATTATCTCCCCTTATTATTCCTGACATCATATCCACAACACAAAATGGTGGTGTTTCCCGCATTGTTTGACAACTGAGGGTACATCGTTATTTTTGTTTATATTTTCAAAATATTGGATTATACGTTGTTATCATTCCTGGAGTATTTCGCAATGGAGTCTTCTTCGTGTGCTGACATGTCGTTAGAGATGCTGAGGGTTGCATCATTTGGTCAAAACCCCCTAAAACCGGTGACCTCATTTGAGGGAATCGCCAATTTAACACCAATTCCATCGTCATTGAAGCTTTCAAAATCTGGATTCTACCGGGACCCCAGCTCGGATGGGGACAAAGTAAGATGCTTTTCGTGTGGTCTTGTCATGAAGGACTGGAGTGCATTTTATGGCGAGTCCCCGTTCTCTGTACACTTGTGTCGCAGTCCAGAATGTCCCTTCCTCAGCTGTCAAAGTGCCGATGATACAAGTGCTGAAACAGATGTATCTAGTCCCTATTCTACAAGATCTCTGACCCCATTGTCGCCCGAATTGTTCCTAACGTCTGCTGAATCTACAATCGTACGACGTCAGTTATTTCCAGAGGATGATAATCTACGCACAAACGACAGTAGTTTGACAAATGCACAGGTTCAGTCAATGCTCAAACTGCCATTCATCCCAAAATTTGGCAGCAACAACATGCTTTTCGAAAGCAAGCGATACGCCACATTTGCAGCTAAACCATGTCTCAAAGCAAAAGAACTAGCATCCAGTGGATTTGTCATGTTGACAGGCGATAAAGTTAGATGTGTTTTCTGTGGTGAGCAAACCACCTGTCCTACAGCTGAGTGTACTACCCCTGTGAAGGATATACATAGAGCACTGAGCCCAAACTGCCCATTCTTCAGAGGTTTTGATGTAAGTAATGTGTCATGTCGACTGGAAGAGTTGATAGAGAGAGACAGTGAGCATAGTGACAGTGACACATCAAGTGACAGTGATGAAGATAACAACAACACAACAAGTTCGAGTGTGCCGTGCATGTTTCACAATCCCTTTTTTGAGGATTTCACTGTTCGGAAGGAAACATTCAAGGATTGGCCTCCACAAATGAATCCGACAGCACAGCAGCTTGCCGAAGCTGGTTTCTATTACACAGGTTGAACATCTTGATTTACCACATTTTTTCATACCATACCATATTGACCATCCTTAGCATGGTGTCAAATTAAAACAGTAGATGACACTCAGCATGGTCATTGGCAGTTTTAATTAAGTTATAATTAAGAAGATCTTTGATATGGCTTTAAACACATATCTTTATAATTCTATCAGTGACATGTTTCATCAACAGGGTCATATATTATACTCCAGGTAAAATAGTAGGGATGATTAAGGTACTCACGGAAATAGAAATAAAATGGTTTTTGGAGTTTATTTTGTAGTTTTGATCACAACTTAAGTTTGATTGTTAAATATTCTATGACTATAATTTTTTTCAACTTTTGTTTTTAACACTTTTTTGTAAAATCATCCGAAATAGATGGGTTTACAGGAGATCAAATCATGTCATTTTTACCCCTTGAAATTCCATCAAGTCAAAATGTTCGTTTCTGATACAAGCTATAGTATGTAAATGAGATTTACTCTCCATATCTTGGCATTCATAATATATTTTATGAAAAACGTCATATACCATTCAGCCTTTATTTCTTTTATCCTAACTGATATTTGAATGCGTCTTCCTGTCTAATCAATGCTGCAGGTAGTTGTTACCACCCATCGTTGATTGTGACGTAAGTTATAACACGTTCCTAAATCTGTTGAAAATATTCAAATTTTTGTGATTTTTACCTGTAAAATGGTATTTGGATTGATGATTAGAGGACCAAATTAAAAGGCCAAGTTGGGAAAACCATAGTTATTTTAATATTTGTTAAAAGTTAATAAAACTACCCATTTTGATGAAGTAATGACCAAATCAATGCCAAAAAACATTTTATTTCTGTTTCCGTGAGTACTTTAGTGTATCCTCAGGTAACAGTTCACAATAATGGTCAATGTTTTAGACACCATTCTCCAACATACGATATTGTTGACATTTTACAGGGGTGTACATGTTGACTGTATGTGTGTATGCATGTCTGTCTGCCTGCCTGTCTGGTTCAAATTAAATTGAATTAAATTAAATACAATCAAGGTATCACTGTAGTAAAGCAGTGAATATACATTATAAACAATATTATAAATATTGACAAATGGACTTTTCATTTTCACACTTATAAGCACAGATTCTTAAACATGACAAATTACTTTTTCCACTTGTTTTCAAGTATTATGGGGGCGGTGGGGTAGCCTAGTGGTTAAAGCGTTGGCTCGTCACGCCGAAGACCCGGGTTCGAATCCCCACATGGGTACAATGTATGAAGCCAATTTCTGGTGTCCCCCGCCATGATGTTGCTGGAATATTGCTAAAAGCGGCGTAAAACCAAACTCAGTCAGTCAGTCAAGTATTATGAGATGCAAAACTTAACATGACAAAGTTTATTGTTCGTGTTATTATTTGTAGTTACAAGTTTGGTGTTCTTGTTATTAATGTTATGTCAACGTTCATGGAGTTAATACATATGATTTAATGTTATTGATTTTTTTGTTTATCTTGTGACATTCCACTCAACATGTGCCATCAAAATGCTGATTGTTGTGTTGACTGTTGCAGGAACATTTGACAAAGTGAGCTGCTTCACCTGTGGCTGCAGTCTCAGCAAGTGGCAGACAGATGCTGATGCACTGGTCCAACATGCCAAACACTCCCCTAGCTGTCTCTACCTGCAACAACTCTCTCAGTATCATGACATCAAGCAACTCGCCATGGAGACACAGGTAATCTGGACTTAGTAATATGTTATATTTTGGATTACACTTTCTAAGTCAAGTACAGAGTTCCATTCTATCCAGGATTCAAACCCACACTCTCAGGGTGAGGCCCTAATTGCCAGCACATTGCTGAACAGTCACCATGCAACACAACATCTTTCAACCATTGGTCAACCAGTGTGAAATAACCTGAAAGATGCATAGGTTCATGTGTGAGGACAGAGGATACAGTGCATGTAGAGAGACAGAAATTCCAAATTCCAGAAACCAAGGCGTGTCATCATGTATTACTGTAATATTGTTTAATGTGATCAGGTAATTTCCATTATTTGGTCCATACTTAATCAAATGTTGAGAGTGAAAGTAACACTGGTGACACTTTGTCTGAACAGTGGGAGATGTATGCCTCAACCAAGCCGACATTGTTCATATCAGTCAAGGGAGATAATTTTGGAAACACATTGAGCATGATATTAAATTTATGCATTACCAATACAGGATTATTGGGTTGTGTTTGTATTATATTCTATAACATATGTATTCAGACAAGACTTTAATGTATTCTTAGTTTAAAGGTCTGACGATTCTAAAATTGAAAATGTTGAGAAATTAAGTCATTGGGTATGGGGATTTTTTTCAACCTGCTCCCAGTGCAGGCTTTTTCCCTAAGTACTTTTGTGATGTTGCTGATTTTGTCATTGAATAAGGCTCAACTTATCCTGCATCTGTGCCCAGCATACTATGTGCAATCAGAAAACTAGTATTTCTAATATTGATTCTACAATTAGATTTGATTGAATGATTCTATTATCAGCAAGAGACATGATAAATGTTTGTGAAAATGTCTCTAATATATCAGTTAGCATGACTCAGTTAATCTGGTTGATTGTAATGATGACTCTGAACGTTTTCCTCTTTAGGAGATGACATCCTGTGAAATGCCAACTGAAGGTAAGAGATATTTCTCTCAATTATTTTGAAACCAACAGTCAAATGCTATTGTTTCAAATTTATGTTTGTCTCGAAGTAAAAGCTAGGTCTCTTTGAATGCTGTCTTTATTCATCATTTTTCAGTTGTGTCGAACCTCTGATAAGTTTAAATATTAATGTAGGTTAACAGTGTTTGACTGTACGTTGCTATTTACCGTTAGTGTACATGGCATTGTATGTAAGTGGAGAGTAGTACTGATAAGCATGTTATTAAATCTATATTTCCATAATCTGGACACATGACCATGATGATCGTGAAAGTTCATCAGCATGTATTTAACCTATAACCTGTAAACATTGTAAGCCATGGTATCGGTATAAGTCATTTTCGTGCCCACAATGCCACTAATGTTATAAGTATTTACGCTCTATTACCTACTTACCATTGCCAAATACTTTGGTTTTGACCTAAGTTGACTTTCTGGTTTATGTTTATGATATTATATATGAATGGAGGTAGCCCTGATACACTCAAGTGGGGTTACAGATCCTTAATGATAGAGACTGTGAATAAAAGCAAAGCTTTGTATGTGTTCATTGCTGATATCTGCAACATCTTCACCATGTAACCTCCTGTTTCAGATGGCCCAGTAAGCAACGAGTCTCCAGTGAAGCTGCCCTTCCCCTTCAAGCCGACAGTCGACCCATCAATACTCACCAACTGTCAGGCAGCTCTAGCAAGTCAGTTTGGCTTTCAAGTAGATCTACAAGTTATTCGTGAAGCTATCTGTGAATTTTATACTATTTTCAGTGAGTTCTACTGTTATGATACATATGTTATGTCCGTAGTGTTAAACATCATGTACTTCAGTGAATTGTCAGAATCATTATTATTAAGGGGAGATAACTAATCAGTACTATACCACATCTTTTTAAAAGGTTTCTAAAGCAAATAAATTGGACAAATTGGTTGTCATATTTTGAGATTTGGTGCAGAAATACTGTATGTATACAGCCAGCCGTGGGGATTCCCATTTGGAAACCGGTGACCAACAACCTATGCTGGCTGTTTGATCCAACAAAGTGGATTGGTTGGTCAGGCTCAGTGACTTGGATGATTGTTATCATACCCCGTGGGGTTGACAGTCCTCACAATATCAGTCACTGGATTGTGTGACCCAATCATGGTTTTCCACAGGCTGCTGTCATATAGCTGGAATATTGCTGAGAGTGACATTAGACAGCAACAGAACAACCAAATACATGTTGGAAACCCAGCAGAAAATGTAACCACTCCTGAGATGAACTTGTTGACATTAATAACCTGTAATGGTGAAAAGGAAATGTCAGACAACTTACCTTTCTAATTGATAAGTTACAAGTGTTGAACGTGTGTGTTAGATCTTACATTTGTCTGAACATGCCTGAAGTTGAAGTAAAATGCTTGTATACTGATGTCCTGATGACTGGGAACCAAGAATATATTTTGTGGCCGATTGTTGAACAAGAAGTATGGAATTCCTGCTTTTACATCTAAGGATCTGAACATGTCACCTGAACATTTGAATTCATGATAAGGTCACACCTACTCATCCTGCCTCATTTTCTCTTGTACAGATGTAATAATGTAATTAGGATCATCATCATGCAGACTATACATATAATCGCTGTACTACACATGTAACAACTGAGCTGATATGTAGTTTTATCCTGTTGATGTCCTGTAGATTGTGTGTGTGTTTGTATGTGTGTACACTAAGTCTGATGGTCCTACATTACAGACAGCTACCCCAACTATGACCTGCTGGTGGGGTGGATGCTGACTACAAGGAAGGAGTTCCAGTTGATGAGGGAGATGAGGAGCAACATCCACAGTCAGGGGGTGACACTGAAGGATCAGCACACACAGATACATCAACAGGGGCAGCAGATACATCAACAGGGGCAGCAGATACATCACAAGGACCAGCAGATACATCACAAGGACCAGCAGCTGGAGGAGCTGTCCAGCAAAGATGAAGAAATCCATCAGCTTAGACTGGAACTTAATTTACAAAACCAGCAGATCACTCAGCAAAGCCAGCAGATCACTCAGATTACTCAGCAGAAGAACAGGTTGATCATGAACAGGAATGAACTACTTCAAGTTCAAGGTGGAAGTAAGTGTAGTTTAAATGACAGTTCCAATAATTATTTCAACTACATCATCCAGCTGCACATTCATTTCATTCAACTTAAGTATTAGGTTCACAAGGTGTACAAGTGGAATTGAAGCACTCATTCAATGAAATCTCTTGTAATTTGAGCATAAGGCAACTTGAGTTTAATGAAAGATTTAAAGTCTCCTGACTCATGTTAAGATTTTGTTTAGTCATGAAATGGATTATTAGTATGACATACACAAAATCTCACATGACTTAAAGATGTTAGCCAGAACCAAATTAAATACTAATATAGTTTTCATCATCTACACAGAATTGAGTCTACTCTCACAATCATGATGAATCTCTGTTCTTCCTCAACAAGTTAGTCTGAACATAATGTTAGAAAATGACATCTCTCAATCAACCAGTCTTTATTTCCAGGAATTGACCAGCTGGAGGACGACAACATCAGGATGCAGAACCTCATCATGCAGCTCCGGCGGGAGTTGCAGGTGTCCACCTCCCGGAGAGGATGAGCCTCAGGTGCAGCTGGATTTCGGACAGTATGAGTGGTTGTTAACTAATATCATGCAGGACTTCAGTCACATGTTTGTATGAAATGAAATTTTGTTTTACATGTCATCTATAGGATACAGTTTCCACATATTAGGTAATCACGGTCTTATGTTCCCCTTGATGCAACTGATCTTGCATGTTTGATCCCGGTGAGTTGTCAGCTCCTATAATCATGTATTTCATCATATGTATTATATTATGAGGTAAATATCTTAGGTAAATACCCTTGTCTCAAACTTCAGAATTAAACCATAAAATATGTTCAGATGGCAGATGAAATCGAAAGCCAGAGTAATTGTAAACTAACAGACCATCTTTTGCACAGTGGCAGCTACACAGATACCATCTTATAGATGTACTATCATATGTTTGTCATTGATCATTGTCAATGGACACCATTGTTACATAATCACAAAACTTGTTGGAAACATCATGTCATTGAAGTATTTAATACAACATAGGTCACCATTCAACAGGACACCACAGTTCTTGACATCTCATGAGTCATTGTACATACAGAATCCCCACGCATGTTTTACATATATTTATGAAATACCACACCCTAGTATGAGCTAGTGCTTTTGTTTGTTTGTACGTTGAATATATTTGTTGTACTATAGACCAATGAGAAATGTCATACTTGTTGTTCAGTTTGCATTGGAAAGATCATGTCATGAAAGAATAGTTTCAATGTTAAGGACTTATTATGGGTTTTTATGTTAACAATGCTTATTAACATCTGTTAAGTAATCTGTTCAATGGGCGTTATTGACATCAGATTATTTGTCAAGGAGCTGTGTTCTAGTTAATTGATGGCACCACTCTCCTTACTTATTCCGGCACACAACCCATGTACAACAGTGATGTCTGCTTACCCTTATTATACTCAAAGTCTTGACAGCAGAAACAAACCAATAATACCCACTGCCTACTCAATTTTAGACCCTGAGTCAGTACTATCAGATCATGTATTGATTAAATGCCACATATTTATAAAAAGACATATCATGAAGTGGTACGGTAGATAAGCAGTCAATGTGAAACACAAGCGTTGACCATGTTTAATTTAATCACCATTCATGATGATGGATCAACTGAGTGTGAGAGTCATGGTTTCATTGATCATGTATCATAATATATGGGTGCATAGCAATAATTCACAGTTTTGTACACTGCTGTTTCCCAAACAACTCCTGATACAGCAAGAGGTCTATGTTGCAGTCCCTTGAGTAAGTGGTACAAACAGGTTGATTTGTCTGTTATGTATGTATAGACTATCAGGTGTTATGTTCATTTTGCAAATTCTATATAAGATTGGATGGTGCAGTAACATTTTAAGGACACTTCAATGGTATTAAAAATTGCCTAGCTGGAACATTCACTTGGTTGTTCATGCATCCTGTTACTACTGAGTATATGTTATTCTTGCTGTTGTTGTTAGATAGAAAGTGAACTTGTATGCTGAATTAATTGTTATATGATTCCTAAAGGGAGACAACCTGTATTCCCAATTTTCATGAAATGCTTTGTCTAAGTTATGCTTACTTGAATATTCCTTTTGAAAGCATTTTTGTTACACTATTACCGATTTTAAGTACTGATTACAACCAAACTAATATAGACCTATTTATGTGTTTTACTGTTTACATGTTTGTTGTGTTAAGGGGTTGGTTATGTATTGCTAGAATAGGGCAGCAAATAAGGTTTTGTAACCTTCACAGTGAACTGAAACTGAAAATTGTTCAGATATTATGTATATATTTAAATGTCATTTACAAAACTTCAATCTGTACAATGTTACATTACTGAAAACCTACTCATTATAATGGTAAGCTGTTACATTATCATTGAGCAGATTGTATCATAGTGCTGGCCAGAATCATTTATAGTTAAAGATCTACCATCACCATTTTGTAAATATATGTACCAATTGTGAACTTGTAAAGATAAATCTGTTACATTTGTCACTAACTGGGTGGATGGAATGAAGCTGATTCTTTGTGTACAGCCCTTGACCTTCAACGTAATTTAGTACACTCATCCGATGGTAGGTGACCAGATGGTGGACACACGAACACGTGCAGACATCTGGTTGCTGGTATAGTAACCTGCAGTATCACTGGACAAAATACTGTCACTATGTGTCCCAGATCACCTAGCTGCAAATGGGTACCTTGTAAGGATGAGGCTTTGTGATAACTCGCTGCACCTAACAGGCTGCATGAGTTGAATACTCCCCAGGGAGTTGAGATGGTTAAAAAAGAATGCCAGAAAAAGACATTCGTTGATCAAGGGAACACTCCAGAGCCTTGAGCATGTACTAGTTGCGTGGATATGTGCGCTGTATAAATATCCTATAATAATACACCCTGATAGTGACACAAGTAACTCATAATTCACTTCGTGTGTACATACAAATAACTAAACAAATGTGTACATATCCATAATATATGTAGATCTTATCATTAATTATATGTAAATATGTATATATATGTATATATATATATGCTATCTGTCTTCATGCTGATCATTGTACATTATTGTTTCTTGATGGGGCCCCACACACCAGGTAGGGACACTATCCCACTCTAGTTAGGTGGATGCTGGTATACATCTTCCATGTTTTCTGACTTTCTTGTACTACAAACTAGGGATGCCACGATACATCCATACTTTTACTAAGATAATTATCGATACATTCAAAACTCTATCGATATTTAGTTTTGAAAGTATCAGTTTAAATATGTTTATGTATCATTTACATTTTGCAATTGCATCTTGTTTTTTTTTATGTTATGAGATTTATAAATGATTATTTTTCATGCAAAAAGATGGGAAATTAGAACTTTTCAGTCTCTGAGAATAAAAATGTTGATCTTTTCATGGACAATTATAAAATATGAAATATTAATGTTCAAAATGTAACTAAAGTTACACAATAATGCCACGAAAACAGATATCATGATACATATCGAATCGTGACATGGGCATGGTGATATGTATTGATTCATGAAACTTATGTATCGTGTCATCCCTACTACAAACACATTACTATTTTAACCATCGTTCTGATGGTCAGTCAATCACAGATCAAAACAATTTGAGGTTTTGATAGTCAGAAATGAAAGTCATGGTTGTTTATTAGTTAAATCTGGAGTTGGGTTATGTGTTGCTTGGAACAGTATTTCAGTTACGTCATGAATGTCAGGGAATTTCGGGGGGAATGTCCAGCATCCCAAAGTGATGCATGGCCACTGAAACCCAAGGCATGGCTATGGTGCGGGAAGAGCAAGGTTCATGATCAGGGCAGATCTGTCAGACCATGGTCCCTGCATCCTGAAATGCCTGGGGATGTAGTTCTACACTTGGAACACCTTCCACAACTGGACTACACTTATCTTTGGATATTGTGTCTACTGAACTGAAGTGTTTTCATTGATTAATCTTCCTGCCCACGTATGGTACACAGACTGGTGGTGTTAAGGGGTGCCTCGTCCGTCTATCTTCCTTCCTTTCATTACGCTTCTCATTAGACCACTTTGTAATAGAGAGCTGTTGTGTTCAATACTTTTTCATCAAACATGTCCACATGTGTTCTGGTTCAATATCTCACGACTAAGGCAGCAATTTCGCCCATAAACAGTCACCATTGATTCAACAACGTCAATACATATTGTCAAGGTTAACATTTCACAGGAAAAGGCAGCTGTACAAATATCATTAATCAAGTTCAGTCATGAAGTATAAGAGTCTGCATGTTTAACATACAAGTAGTACTTACAAGTTTTTTTGTGTAGGACTCGAAAATATTGACTTACATGAAGCAGGGATGAAAATTTTCCACCGAATTCTGCGGATTTGATCGCGCTGGGGTCATTCTTGTGAATCGTCCACCTTGGATCTGGCATGGGGACCAGGGCCCCCAAGAGCCCCAGCTGATTTCCTCTCTTTTCAACTTATACCCATTTTCATCCTTGATAAGGGCGATCTGTAAGTGATCAGCTCTGTCCCAGTGATTAGAATCATGAGCATCAATCTAGGGTACCGTGACATGCATCAGCCATGTCAGGGAGCCTAACCACGTGACCTTGTAGCACATTGCAGGGTCGTACTTGTGGGTCATACATCACCCAAGAGGTCAGTGTATGTCTGGGGCTTCTCTTTGACATTCTGTGTTCATTTAAGGTAGGAATTAGTGGTAGCCCATTTGTCATTTACACCGAACATGTTCTTCTTTTGATAGTTTTTCTATTGAATAGTGTTAAATAGTGGATTTTACATTTATATACATTTATTGTATATTTGATGTTATATTTTGTATAACAGTTTTGTTATTGAATCGAACATATTTTAACATCTTATATTTTTAGAACAATTCATCTGAAATATTTTGAACCACAGTTTAGGTTTTTAAACATTTCATCTGACATACCTTATGTTTACAAAATAATTCATTTGAACAACAACCATGTGAAGTGTTGCTATTTTCATCTCCTATTCTATGGACTCTCATTCTCTTTTATCTACTTCAATAATGTATATTTATCTCATGAAATAAACTCTATAATAAATATTTTTCTTTATCCCCCGCCGCGCGATTAGCGCGAAGTGGGGGCATTTAGTATTAGGCTCCGTCCGTCCGTACGTACGAATCTTAAGAATCGTTGACTAGATTCTTTTCATATTTGGTACCTAGGTTCATCACAGTATAAGAAAGGCCCCAGTCAGGTTTGGTGACCTTGTCCTTCATTTCAAGGTCACAAGGGGACTTTATCGTTTTACTCTTGTCAGCGAGATATCTCAAGAACCGCTCACTAGATTTTCTTTATATTCAACACCAAGCTTTATCTAGGGAAGGCGCAGGGCTCAGTCGATTTTGGTGACCTTCACTTAATGTGCAAGGTCAGAAAGACACTTTGAAGAGTTCAGCATGTTAAATTGCATGTTAAGATAGTTTTGATTTATTTCTCTTAGCAAAGCCCATCGTTCCTGTCATCTATTACCTGTTATTAATGAGCTTGAAATACTGCCAATGTGAGGAGGGTTAGAATTATCCAGTTGCCTGTCTTACCCAGATAGAAACGATGAACGCTACCCCTTCAAATTAATTCCTGCGCTTGAATAATCGTGGAAACACGTCACGTGTTATATTTCTGATTACACTTTCCAAGTAACAAGTACATATTATGGTACAGTTACATCCGGGATTCGAACCTACGCTTTCTCGGACAGAAGCACCTTATCGCAAGTACACAAACTCAGCTACCTAACCCGCTGAGCCACCGCTGCTTCCACAATAAATGGAAGTCTGACAACTGGCAGTTCCCATCACGGACTTTGTGTATCCGGGGCGGTGGGGTTGCCTAGTGGTTCAAACGTTTGCTCGTCACGCCGAAGGCCCGGGTTCGATTCCCTACAAGCGTACAATGTGTGAAGCCCATTTCTGGTGTCCCCCGCAGTGATATTGCTCAAAAGCGGCGTAAAACTATACCCACTCACTTTGTGTACCCCCTTGTCAAAGGTCAAACACGTGAGGATTAAAGTCGAATGTTGTAAATTCAAAATTCTTAAAGAAAGATCGTGCCGACAAAAAACACTGCTAAACTATAGAGCACACACTTTCTCACAGAAAACTGTACGTGGGTACATTGCGCCAAACTATTTCTGGTGTGTCTCGCCATGATGTTGGTGGAATATTGCTAAAAGCGGCGTAAAACCATACTCACTCTCTTTCCCCACAGCATATGCCAATCCATGAAAAGTAATCTTTATTACTGGAGGCAGCATCTCATTTGTCATTACTGTAGCACGCTGTTGCCATCCCTTCATCAACAGTTTGCTGAGAGAATCCATAGGATATCACAGCTAACAAGCTGTCGACGTACGAAGTTCCATCAGTCCATCGATTCAGGCAGAACATAGAGATTCATATTGCGTTTAGAACATGTAGCTGGATATTATATATTATAATACATTTTCAAATCTTTTTGAAGAGACACACTAGTATTAAAACTTACCAACTTTCTATCAGTAGCTAAATGTACGAAGAATTTCAAAACGTAATTTATGTAAATTTTGTCTTTGGGATTTATGTGAATATGCCATTATACTGATATATTACTTAAAGTAATACTTTGAATTACGAAAGTAGTTTCGTGAAGAAATGATACCACAACCGGAACCTAACTCCAAATACACTGAACAGCAAAAGAAATGCAAGTCTGGCTTTTTGTCAAATGTTTAAATATAAGACAACCATAATTATATCTAATCATTTATTCTGTAGAAAACACTGTCAATTTAACAGCTGAAAGTTGCTGTTGACATTGAATTGCATAAGTTCAAATTGCATAAGTCCGTCAAATGGAGATACTCCTGAACGCGAAAAGTGACAGGCTCTTTAGTAGCACGTGTAGCCACCTTGAGCTTGCACACAGGCCGTGCAACGTCGCCTCATTGAGTTCACTAGAGTCTGAAAGAATGCCTGAGGCAACACCAATCTCTGTTCCAATTGTGCAAGTGTGAGTGGCTGTCTACCTGCAGTAACCCTCCGTCCAATTTCGTCCCAAAATGTTCAATGGGAGCCATATCCAGGAATGGAGACTGACATGGAAGAACGTTCATGTTGTTTTGAGCCAAATAATCCATCGACACCCTTGCTGTGTGAGGGCTGTAAACGTCGCTGGTGTTGTTGACGTGTCAAAATTGCCCCACATATGGCCGTCGGCAGTGGATTCCAGCAGCCCGAAGACGACGCCTAATCGTATCGCTGGAGACTGCTCCCCTTGACCCATGAACTAAGGCTGCTGTTACTGTTGCTGCTTGAGTACTGTTCCATCGATGAGTGACCCGGATGAACCGATCTTGCGCATAAGTTGTCCGTTGTGGCCGTCCGATACGGTGACGATCAGCAGCAACACCGGTTTTCTGATGACGTTGAGCAAGTCGTGTAAAGGTGGTAAGATGACAGCCCATTAGTTCAGCTACAGCGGTAGCAGAGCTACCTGTGTGAAATTTTCCAATGGTCATTCCCCTATGCTCAGGCGTTAGTCTAGGCATCGTTTGTGTCGCGTGTACACCTCCTAGCGTCAATACTGAACTGTTTTTTTTACACAAATCTTTATAAAGGATGCCTAAGAGTGAAATGCATGCTTTCCATCCAGAACCGTCGATGCACATGCTAAGATTATGGTTTTGCTGCACTGTGGGAGTGCCTGTTCGAATGTTTCGTATGGGCGTCAAATTGCGTGACATCATCTCATCTGGGATCATTACGTCACTGTACCATGAACGTTCCATAAACATGAACGCTTACTTATATGAGATTTCATTTTTTGGAAACTTGCGTTTCTTTTGCTGTTCAGTATATATTATTGATACATAACTTTGTCAAATGTTAAACGGCACAATCAGCAAATATGAGGGCGGTCAAATGTAACATATGTTATGTTTGAAATTGCAATCTCTTAGTAGATTTTGTGTACAGTGTATTAGGGTCCTGAGCGTGGCACTTACTTTGTACTGTACTGAGAAAGTGTAACGCCAACTTTAACATATGTTGCCTTACACAACTTCCTGAAATGTATTACGTCTTCATATCACGGCTATCTGTTGTGGACTGTTTACAATAGTAAAGCATGTGACGTAATTGGTAACGACTGCTTCTATATTGCATAGAGCGACTTTTCGGTGTAGATTCTTAAGCCGTTTTTAGCTTGATGTTGTTATCCACCAAGTCGTATGCTGTATTATTTACTCACCAACTTCTAGAATGCCGATCAAACAATTAGTAGGACTTTTTTCAGATTAGTACTGTTTAAATAGCGTTTGTAATGTTTGGCCAAATACAATATTCCAATGTATACTTTCTAAACTAAATAGATTGGTAATAATAAAGAATGCATGCATGTCCAAACCCACGAATGAAAGAAAGCACGCTTGCACATACAGACTCGTGCCAGTTATATTCCGATACTTGACGTAATTTCCATAGACTTACATATTATTTCAGTGTGGCATAAATAAATTTCATGAAGTGAGTTTAGGATAGATCTTTGTAAAATATGACAGGCAAATGTGAAATCATCTCTGCTCTGCGCACATAATTTCAGTTCAACTTTCTGACCACTATTTAACTAATGACATCACTTTCATCAACGTACGTGTGGTTCCACAATGCACAATCCCATAGGCCGCCATGTTTATTAAATTGTTGCCATTCGATAAATATGCAACGGAAAATTAAACAGAAATTATTTGATTGTAGGTAAGATGATTCCTCACATGGACAAAATTTGACTTGGATCCTACGAAAATTAAATTCATGAAAATTATTTATGCTACACTAAATTAACATGTAAGTCTATGGAAATTACGTCAAGTGTCCGATATAACTGGCACGGGTCTGTACACAAAACAGACCTACTTCTAGGAATATTGAGACACGCCAATTGGTTTATTACCCACATGTTTACAATTAATCTCAAGTTTTGAAATATTTAGTATACACAGTACACATCAATATACGTACAGTGGTGCTGTACACACAGTAGAGTACTCATTTGCAGCCAGGTGTGAAGTAACAGAGTTGTAATTAGTTAATGTCACTTTGGACGTTGAAACCATCTGGGTTTTTCTTTCAGCCTTGCTTTGTACTGATGTATTATATACAGAACTAAATGGGCCAAAGTGTCTCGCTAATGTTTTGTATTCGAATCCAGTTTCTACAAATTAACATTTTAGATTCAGCTTTGTCGAGCAATGGCCGTGTTGTTAAGGGATGGCATTGTGAAATATCTGTTATTAGTCTATATTCATGTACATCGATTTGAAAGGGAGAGGGAATTGGAGCATTGTCTTGAGTTTCCATCGCACAACACAATGGCGTCACGAAGCAATGCTGGTATATGTGGTGTTAGCTTGTGGGTGAGTGAGTATGATTTTACGCCGTTTAAGCAACATGCCAGCAACAGAAGAAATTGCTAAAATGGCTTCACAAATTGTTCCAGTGTGGGAAATCGAGCCGAGGCCTCCGGTGTGCGAACGAACGTATTCACCCTTCGGCTACCGATTTGGTGTGTCCATGGTTGGACGACCGATGTCAAAAAGCACCAGTCATTACTGTTCTGCTTGGAGTACAGCTGGGGACCTTCTATTTCACCATGTCTGACATAATATCCTGCCTCTACAACATACAGGAGCCTCCGTGAATATCAAATGGTGTGTACCTTATTAATGCCTATATTGGATCACAGTCACATTCACGACGAGGGTTGTTGTTATGTGTACTGATAACAATGTACAGGTAGCCATCTCCCAGCGTCATATCATGGAAGAGAGTCACGTCCCAGTGCGCGCATAATATAGTGTGTTAAACATCTGTGCACTGATCTCAAACCATTCAAACTGTGGTTATTATTCATAGATTCCATGCTATGCAACAACTTCTTGTACATCGTAATTCACGTATTATTCATATATAAAAAACTCCGCCCTTCGCTGTGAGAACCCTGGTTTCTCACCACTGCGTGACACACAAGAGTGGGAAAGAACTCCTCGTTAATTCTTTAACAAAGTTTTATAAAACTACTCTTGTCATCCTCTGACGAATGGTACGAACCATCGGTATATATGCTAATCAAATTCCACGTCTTAAACACATGCTTTATATAGGTCGTATACGATATGATGACTCCGACACTGTTTAATTGGGAAATCGTGATGTTTCTCTCCCTATTGCAGTGGGTTTTGAGGGTTCCAAATCCGCTGGCCTTTATTCCAGTGAGGGATCTCAGTATTCCGGTCACATACACGTCATCCATGACAACAAAATGCGTATCAGACGAAGCATCGTAAAGCTTGGACAACAGATCCCGGGATACAATGTAAGCAAATCCCTGACAGAAATCAGGCCAGACATCAAAAGGATACATTGTTCTAGGAACATGATATTTATGATTTTGTTTCCTTTGTGGGATAAACCCCTTAAACACCGTGCATATCATCTGATTGGTAGGTTCCTTCAGCTGAGTGAGATACTTGACAATCACATATGGGTTCATAAACATGTCATCATCCATCTTCAACACAAAGGCTGCTTCAGGACAATGGTTCAGCATCCAGTGATAACCCATTATGTGTTTTATACTCAGATTTCTATACACATCAATGAAATTACCTTGAATTATGTCTTTGAATTCATTAGCTTCTCTTACGACACTGGTTTGAAGTGTTTCATCATCTGAAACGCCGACGGTAAAAACAAGGACGACTGTTTTATTCCACGCATTACGAACGCTTCCAAAGGTTTCTCGGATTCGACGTCGATAATTGAAATGATCCAAGGCCGAGTGAACAATCGTTAGTAGATACACGTGACCTCTCTCACAGAGGTCAGAGTTCAAGGTGAACTGATACTGATGCAGATTTACAAGAGGATGCCTCTCTTCACCTTCCTTTAACAGTGAATAGTTGAACAATCCAGGTATCTGTTCAGTTGCAGACATGCTAAATGGGAGACCCTTCCCCAAGGAATTGTGAGTCCGTTGATGACCCAACTTAACCCTGCTTTGTATGGCATAATGATCAGATACGTCAAGTGTTCTACGTCTGGATGGATTCCTATCAAGAACGCCATGGCTTCTCTCCATTCCCCTATGGTCAGTTTTATTAGGAATGCCGTTTAAAGGGTGTCTCTCTTGCAGTGGGCTCCTTGGTTCAATGTCATATGTGTCATTTACTTTCCCGAAGGCATGTTCCCCATCTTCGACCTTAGGTTGAGTTAAGTTCTCGATTGTGATAAAGTTTTTACTGTTAAATGGCTTCCAATGTTTGTAACCTTGGTACGTTTTGTCCACCTTCTGAGGGTCATCGCCAACATGTGTCACGTGCTTGGACGGAATGTGTTGATACTGCATAAGAACCAGTAATGTCAATACACCCAAGACCACAGCATTCAGTAGAATGATCCTTTTCTTCATTCTTCCAATAAATCCACCCATTCCGGCTGAAATACAGAAAGGCGAAACTGTCATGTGATAACCACTACAGCATCACCCCGACATGTAAATACGATAACTAGAGGTATATCATGACGCTTGTTGTATGCATGTGTCAAAATGACTTCTTACGATTATTGATTTTTGTAATTAATCTTATAATTCGATAGTAAGAGAAATAATTGGGCAGGTCGACTTAAAACAAGTATCAGGATGCAGAATGAAAACGTATAGCTAGACAATACGGAAAATAATTCAATGTAAACTAATGCAAAAACGTCACTGTGGTTTCATGATGTGCTGAAAATGTTAGATGTTGGAAATAACAAGACAATACCATCATCATTTTATGCCGTATAAATGGTCATGAGGCCACAGCATGTATAAAATATGAGTTAACATACATACTGCGTCACTCACAAAATTAATATTAAGTTATTTGTTTGATCAATGGTTAGTCATATGACTTTGTTTGACGAAACCCAAATTTATTGACAGGAGACAGAAACGCGCCCTAATAGAAAGGAGGTAAAGCAACTCAATTTACGATTCCAATATTGGGCATGATTAGATACATGCAGTGGCGGTGCATTCAATACATGTACTTAAAATAACTGAAAACAGCCTTGTGAATGTTGTTTCAAATATCAGACGACCATGTGCATGAAGGGTACAATATGATCTCGAACGATAGCATCCCCGTTACACGGGCCATTCAAACTGCCATTAGCAACGGTTAATTATGTTATGCAGTGAGTTGCGATGGCACCCCATACCATTACACTTCAACCCCCAAAACTGACGACCTTGAGAACAGCAATCATGCTAAAATGTTCTTCTGGACGTTAACGTAAATCCCTGCACGATCACATCAAAGAGGTCGATGAAGACTGAAAGTACACTGCCCCAGTCTCGTGTCCTGTAGATGTAGTCGTGCCTGATGGCGATATGGAAGGAAATTGAGACGTTGTGACCTGATGTATTGCTACTCAATCGGATGCGAACGATTCTTCCACTTATTGGTCTGACCCGTTAATATGGTAGAAATTTCGTGATTAATATTCATTGAAGGAGTATTTTGATTTATGTTAGTGAACTTTAAAAAAAGCAAAGTTACTTTTGAAGGTTGGTATCCCAGTTTGTGTCAAATACGTCCCTGGAATATTGTTGAAGGCGACGTCAGACAACAAACAAACAAAACCTATTGTTATAATTGCTTCAGTTGGAATATTACATTGCTAAACGAATAGCGATTTACTATAAATCAATTCAAATATCAGGTTCTACATCTGTATATTTGCATTTTTGAGAGGCGTGAGATTTTCGTAAGAATTTCAAGTAAATTATATAGTTCAATGTTTAGTGTTTGATCAATAGCATGTTGGTGGGTGTATGTACACGAGTCAGATCTGTGTCCGTTATGACATATGGTGCATAGCTGAACGTATTGTTGCTAATTTGCTGCTGTGTTGAGTCATGTTTCAGTATACTGGCCCGGACACCTGTTATGTACAATATATTTAAATACAATGAGTTGAATATTGGTTGAATACAATATGTGCTGAGAAAAATACCGTTGATGAAAGGACCCAAAAGAGACATTGCGAAAAACAATCGACTGCAAAGTGTTTGCATGTATGATAAGCTACCAAAGACATTCGGTTTTCGGGAGCATGTACACATATACTGTCAGTTCCTCTATATGCTTCTTGCTGATCCTAACCTGTTCTCAAGGGACGGTATCCCTGTTTTCAATTTGTTCAATTTTAATCATGGAAGGTGACTTGTAGAATGCTCTTACCCCTATGGAACAGAAATGTATGTGTGTTAGTATTCTCCTTAATACACGGGCTGTGACCCTTACCGTGTAATACAATGATTTTCTAAAACGTCTTATTCCCGCTGATAAAGTTAACTGACATGATAATACAGATGCTCGCATGTCAATCCTGTATAGACCATATTGCTGAGAATGTAAAAACAAGCAAGTAGCCTAACTATATGCATATGTATAAGATAAAATGCCGGTTATGAAAGTATTGTCTTTAAAATTAGCTTTCACCAGAAAATAACAAACGGTATGAATACGTTACTAGAATGCCATGTTGTGCGATAGAAAAACTGATTATATGTGTTACATGAAACATGACCAATACAGCATTTGTTGATTTATTTTATTTATTTAAGTTTATGGATGAACAACTTCTTTATTCAGGTGATGCGACGTTTCGATACAGATTCCTGTATCGGTTCAGTAAGCATATATCAGCTTGACAACGATACTAGAATCTGTATGGAAACGTCGCATCACCCGAATTATAGAAGTTATTCATCCATAAAGTTTGTCTTTATCCCACACTCAAATATGAGTGAATAGTATAATACTTAAATTTATTTACTTTATATACAAACAAAACAACATAATCTCACCTCAAGAAAGAGAGAAGTCTGTATTCACGGCAAAGTTCAGTATTTTCAACTGGACTCGACACTCAGACCATCTGTGGTGTGTACAATCAATATCCTATTGACGTTCAACGAAGCATCTATGTGCATGTATTAGTTGCTATGCGGGGGACAATAACCAGTGGCGTGGCTACTATGTAGCAGAAAGACACGTGCTCACACTATAAATCCCTGGTAATAACCAATACCGGCCGCCGTAAAACAAATTAAGGAGCGTTTATTTATAATCATTTTTTTTCCAAAATGCCTTGAATATGTACTTTTAAAAACATTAAAGCACTCAACATTACCTAATACTTCCAACGCACCTGTTTACCACCTGTTTAAGAACTTTATGGACGGGCTTGGTCGAACTAGGGACGGAAGGGTGCTCCAGAACGTTCAACATGTCCATCGTTCTACCCGTTCTAAAATTTGACGGAGTGACAACGTACTTAAAACGTGATTGCCGGACAACGAACGGAACTGCCGTACTACGAACGGAATTGTCGTACTTACTGGGGACGTGTGCGGACGTAGTGCAGTCGGGTATAAATTCCAATACGTTTGTACACAGTTTCCACCACGTTATCCCGTTCGCAGACAGACCTAACTCGACCGCATTACGTTCTTAGTTTGTTGCTATTCCGTGCAAATATGTTCAAAACAAAATGACTTGTTCTGAAGAAGTTTGTAGAACGTTTCTACACGGTCCTAAAAGTTTTTAGTACGTTTATGTAGTTCTCATGCAATTCTTATTACGTTCACACCGTGAGCAGTACAATATGACAAGTATCCCGGGCTGTTAAGATGGTTGCTCTGTTTAGATGGGATATCTGTCTTTTGGAATACAGAAGTCCATCAGTGGGTCCACAAGACTTTATTCGTGATCCAATATGTATAACTACATGGTGTTATAACAATGACTAGATGGCATTGTGTTGAGGCGATGGTCAGCCTAAATGCCTAGCCGCTCTCGGGGTCAAGTCCCGACTAACACAAAGCATTCTTTATTTATCCCTTGAGCATAAGGGCCGAATCCTGAGCAGACTGTCACATGACGCATTTGCGACAGATGTCTGGTCCGCCTGCAGTATCCCGCACCTCATCCACAATGTCTGGCTTCAGTGGCCAACCGGCCTTTGTCTAACTTTGATTATAGGCAGCTGATCAGCAAATGACTCTGTCTTGGTGATCAAGCTGCGTTGATTTCATTTCTATTGACAGCAAGGTAATTATTTAGAGAGATATTCAATTTACATAACTCAGGGAATATAGAACTATCCCTGATAAACCTTGTTCCAAAATGACTACGATAAAAGGTATGATATAAATACATGCGTTTTAACACGTTCGTCATTTAGGATAGAGATTTATACCTGTGAACCATGAACAAGTTTGCAGCTGTCAACATGTTGAATTCTGGTTTCCTGCAATGTTTATTGGAAGCAGAGCAAGAGTACGGTGAGTTGGTAGAGGAAGAAAGGAGGAAAAGAACAAGAACTTGGTGGATGAGGAACTGGCTTAAAACTGATGGAGGAGCTCCGCCTTGAGTCCTTCTACAATTTCTTGAGAATCACCCCACCCATGTTTGACGAACTTCTTGAACGCATCACCCCCTTCATTAAAAAAGTTAACCAATTGGAGTTATGGTGATGTCGATGTTTCCACCTTGAAACTGAGAACGGCAATGAGAACGGGCAAGAACGTGCTGGGTAGAAATCGGGCCAGTACGTGATTGCTCTTACGACTGCACGCAATAGGAACGGAGTAAGAACGTAGTGCGAACGAGAGGAACTGCCTGAAAACGAGTTGCCCTGCATATTCAAATATTGTTAGGCTGGATCGATTAAACACTGCTGCAACACCGAGATCCTGATTCAAATGATTTTTATGAAGGCCAAAGAAAAGCATCTCTCATGATGTTTGGTACACGTGTCCTAATTGCGGACATAGGATAACACACACCTTGTAATTACCAAGGCACGTTAGCTTAATCGCCATGATGTAGTCCTTACTTGGGTCTCTTACCTGAAATAATACAAGGAATCTCTTTGTAAGATGGAAGCAAGGAGTATGTTTGACGTTAACCTCAGGCATTTATACATGCCTAACTATTTAGCCATGCATTGTAGGTATTCTTTTCCTTGTTGGGTGTCTTCGACATACAAGACAATTCGAGTAACAGGGTATTCCCTTCATGAGTATTTCTAATTAGAACCGATCTTCAGCAACCCATGGTTGTCGTAAGAGGGGGACTCACGGGATCGGGTAGTCAGGCTCACTGACTAGAATGATGTATGTCATCGTATCCCATTTGCTGAGAACGTTGCTGATGGTGTCAATCACTGGCTTGTCTCTTCCAGCGTTTGTGAACCAAGATATACTATTGACACTTTGCTAAGGATCAAATCATAGGGGGCGGTGGGGTAGCCTTGTGGTTAAAGCGTTCGCTTGTCACGCCGAAGACCCGGGTTCGATTCCCCACATGGGCACAATGTGTAAAGCCCATTTTTGGTGTTCCCCGCCGTGATATTGCTGGAATATTGCTAAAAGCGGCGTAAAACCCAACTCACTCACTCACTCAAATCATGGATTCAACAGAAAACTATGATGTGGGGTCAAATCTGGTTTATTATCTAAGCTTACTGTAAGCATGGATCCTAGGTTTCAGTTTGTCATTTCGTCTTGTGGAACCCATACTTTCTATTGACAGGTGTTGTGTACTTGTCAATGACTCGTTCCATGATTTGCAAAATGGTTGATTGGGGCCATGAAAACAATTTCTATGGTTACTCATGTATCAAGTGCATAAGGTTAGATTAAAGTGACTGTTTGCCTAAAGAGGGGTTACGATATTATTTATCCAATTTCAAATGGATACAATTTCAAATTATAAATCTACATCTAAGTAAAGTTGTGATTTTTTGTGATCCTTAGCAAAGTGTGAGTAGTATATTTCCACCGTAAACCTACATGTATGTGTGTGACGAGTATTGTTGGTTGCACGTTTAATAATGCCATTAGGTATTACTAAAATGGAAGCCTGAACATTATATAGTAAAAAGTAATAGCAAAAGCAAACTATTCGTATAAATGTTCTCATATTGTCCATCCAAGGAGGCACCGTCTTGTTTTAGCATTTAATCCGTAAATGTTTCTGTCGTCATAGTTCTTTACCAAATAGTCCACTGGGCTAAAGTTACAAACAGGTCAGACTAAATCTTCCCCTTGTCCACCAGCAATTAGATATCCCTAGTTAATTCTCTTAGCATCCTTTGTCCAAGTTAACCAGTTGTGAATTTGTTGACAGTTTAGGTTTACTCCGCACTCAGCAATATTCCAGCTATATGGCGGCGGTCTGTAAATAATCGAGTCTGGACCAGACAATCCAGTGATCAACAGCATGAGCATTGATCTGCGCAATGGGAACCGATGATATGTGTCAACCAAGACAGTGAGCCTGACCACCCGATCCCGTTAGTCGCCTCTTACGACAAGCATTGGTTACTGAAGGTTCATTCTGACCCGGACCTTCACGGGTAGACAAGCATGGGTTACTGAAGGTTCATTCTACCCCGGACCTTCACGGGTAGACAAGCATGGGTTACTGAAGGTTCATTCTACCCCGGACCTTCACGGGTAGACAAGCATGGGTTACTGAAGGTTCATTCTACCCCGGACCTTCACGGGTCTTGTTGACAGAAGCCGCAGGGAGACCTTATATCCATACATTCCAACATATTGTAGTTGGTTTTATTGTGCATTGATGTCTGCATGTAGTCACGAAAGTAAATGTAACGACACGCAACCCACTGATATTATTGTTTTTCTCTAATTATTCCAAACTTATAGGTGCCAAACTTATCTCATATATGGCAAATGCGTGCGAAACATTTGAAACAGTACAATTGCCTAATAATTTCTATATCTCGAAACTTAATGGAATCTATTTCTTTCTCACGTTTGAAAAAAGGATTGATAAATTAAACTGTCCAAACACATGGAATAGATTTGGCGAAGTGTCAATACCCCTTGTCATATATATACTAGGCGTCATTAATAAAGGGTCAAATGATACATAGCACATGTAAGAAAGGTTTCTCAGAAATAATAGAACCAAGGGTGTCATCATAATGTTTAATGTGTTCACAAACGTGACACATCGTGACATACAGACATACATACGGTGCTCCTGGATATCCTTACATTGTTAACATTGAATTTTACGTCTGAAGATCTGCTGCGTTCAGGTATCTGTTACGTAAAGCAGTGTTAATAAATAATCATGTACCTATCATCTCGGACTGTTGTGATTCTCGGGTGACCTGGTCGACGTGCATATTCCACGGACCGACTGGCTTGATATCTCTGCCACAATCTACCACCAATAGCACTCTGACTCGAATTTAAGCGGACAGCAACCTGCCGCGGAGTTTGACCAGACTCCAAAAGGCCTATAGCCTGACCCTTTTCAGTAAGTGTCATAAAACGTCTCATTTTAAGCTGCGATTTCAAATAGGTACCTGAACAGTGAACGACAGTCAACAAGCATCAATGCATGTGTATTGTCCTCCACTTCCATGGATAGAGCGATTTGTACGTGCAAATCATTAACATTAAGTGAGGTGAGGTGAAATTGGGTTTAACGTCGTGCTTGAGAATATTTCGCTCGTATGACGACGTGCATGCGTGTGTATGTGTATGTGCGGCTGCTGGTACTAGCCCAGACTTAAGCTGGTTTTATAGTGCTAGCCCACTGAGATACCATGCCGCAGTGAAGCATGAATACCCCACTCAGACACAGTATACTGACTCCGAGCCGACCAGTCCTTGTTGTACCCATTAATGCCGAGCGCCAGGCAGGGACCAACAAGTACAATATTTTAACGTCTTTTGGTATGACGCGGTCGGGGATCGAACCCGCGACCTTCCGCTCTCCTTGACATTAAGTAGTTGGTGGATTTCCTTATAGACAATTTGAATAAGAGATGTGCCACTTGTAACACTGAGTGAGTGAGTTGGATTTTA